CGTTATCGAACAAATTTTTTTAATCCATTTTACAAAGGTACACTTTTCTAGCTAAGGACATAAAATTTTTATATCATTTTTTTTTAACTTGTAGCTTTTATTTCTCGGTTTTACAAATTTTAATTGATTCATTGTTGTTAATTTTGGGTAAAGTTTGTTCATTTTGTTGAAGAACTAACTATTTGTATATGGGATAAATCGCAAAAATGCCTCTATTACATTATTCTAAACGGGTTAATATGTCTTTTTCCAAAAATTCGACAGGCAATAATTATATTAGTTCAAAAGAAAACTGTACCGAAAGTTACTATCATCCGCAGTAATTTCGGATTTTCGTAAAAAATTCTCAAATAGTAATCAGTACATACTGACTGATAATCAAAAACTCGATGATTGGCTGCTTCCATTTTAGGAGTTTGCATCGATCTACTACAGATCCCCGTAATAAAGCTTGTAAATTCCTTTTTAAAAGTACTTAAAAATGTTACTACAGCAAACTTGCTCGGGCAAAGCTAATGGTTATATCCAAAGTTTTCATACTGCATACTGGGAAGGCGTTCGCTATCTTGTAAGCTAATTGTAAAATATGATTTAATTCTTAATCAGATTCTGATGTTTCTACAATGACCTTTTAAACAAGGTGTATGGAACCGGAAGTAATTTAGTGATATATAATAGTTGTCTAGAACATATCCAAACAACAGACGTTTCAAAATTATTGAAAGACGTCAAGCGGGAGCCGGAAACGGAACTTAATGTAGTCTCAGTTGAGATTTCGGAAATTGACGGCAAGGTTTGTTATAAGAAATAGATCATTGTATATTACCAATACATGTTCATTGATTTCTGGCTTAATTCTTAATTTACTTTTATCATAAATAGATCGCGTTGACTGCTGGCACAGATGCACTTATATTATTTCCGCAACAAGTAAATAAGGTAGTCTTCTTTTTTAGGAATTACATATGACTTTTTCCCTATAGTATGCATCTAAGTCATAATGTATAATTTAGAATGTACAATGGAATTTGATGAAGATATTGAAACATGATTATCCAACATTATGTGTCTCTTGGAGTGGTGGTGAGTGTTGAGGATTAAAAATTTTTAAATCAAAAATGGAAATTCCGAAGGATAAGTATCACAATTTTCGCAGTTGATACTTTCTACTTGTTTATATAAAGATCAACTATTGGTTGGCGGTGAAACACTCACTATTTGGGAACAAACCATATCACCTGACCACGAGACTCCTGTAAAGTGGACAAAATTATGGGAACAAAGGTTCATATTTGTTGATGCATATGAATCGATACTCTGACCAGAACGTAACCCAAATATATGTTTACATTTTACGTTGTAGGGTCTCCACAAAAACAACACTCGCACAGTTTTCACCGGATTCTACGCTATTTGCTTCCATGAGCGATGTAAAGCACTATCTATACATTTGCACCTTTCTTTCAGAATAATTTTATTAGTTAAATTAATTCAAACATATCCGATAATAAGAACGATAGGTTGGTGAAAATTTGGTGGAATCCTTATAATAACGAGACAAAAGATCGAAAATATGAATTTAATTACTTACCACATCCAAGAGCCGTAACAAATTTCACATGGCGAAAAGGTCCACTTGAACAAAAAAAGTAATATCCTTGTCCAATATTATCTAGCCCAATAACAATTTCTCTTTATAATCATTAAATATTTTTAATAATACAGTTCCGCAGGTTCAAATATTCTTATAACAATGTGTAAAGATGGAATTTGTCGGATCTGGGCATCAACAAATCCCGATGAGCCACAGTGCCTCTACATCTCAACGGTGGTTGATCCATCACAATCTCTAGTAACCCTTCAATCATCGGAAGAAGAAACGTGTAATGAAGATCCTAATCTTTTTTCATCAATACATTGGATCGATTCAAAAGAATTTTTATGTGCACTTAAATCAAGTATTGAATCGTTTGATGGAGATTTGGATGATTCCATTTGTGGGAACGGATTAAGAAAATTGAGAAATTTGGCGAATGATACACCAGATTTGTTATATCAGGTTCAAAGAGATGGATCTATGGTTATTTGGGGGATACGCGTGAGTCTATTTGTATTTTAATGTATATTCCCCTTTATGTTTACGTGAAGATTCATTTCTTTGGCGTAGAGCATTGCATTCAGTACTCGACATATAGATCAAAATATCCAAGTTAACATGATTGTTACTCGGGAGATGCTCTGTGAAGAGAGCACAATCCAATATTATTTTGGATGATCTTGATGGTAGCTTATGCTGGGATTTACTGATTTGGAGTCCCCCATTTAAATCTATAATACCTACTATATAAAATTCACATATACTCTTTTATTAATAATACTATCTTAAATTCTAATCTAACCCTTAAAATAAAGATACAAAAAAGGCCCCAAAGAATTTTAAAATTTTATATAAACACTTTAAAATCCTAGCATGAGCCAATCAAGATTTGCATCGAAATAAACCGGTCGTAATTTTGGATTACTGAATGTAACGCTTTACTGTCATTAAACAGTTCTTAACAACATCGCTGACAGGTCATAATGTCACTCACTTATGATCATATATTATCGGCGTTATATTTAACTTCGATATATTTTATTTAATGATGGTAATAGAATATTTATTGTAGACCACGACGGATTCCGAAAGTCCTCGTATTACTACGCTTGGCTCAAGCGTTTCCAGTGTCAGATGTAGAATATTTTGTTGGAAGAACATATACTTTTCATGATAATACACCTACCGACATTCTAAAATGTAAGTTTTTATCCGGTTTCATCACCATCTGAATCTAGGTAATTGTTTCGATATCTTATATAAATATAATAAACTTTTAAAATAAAGCTTCAGTAGAACTTGCTGTAATTGCACAAAATCCACAAGGTCGATTGAATAAATATTCAATCAAATTGGTTGATGTATTTGATAGTTTGTCATCAAATATGCCAATACAATTTAAGTGTTCGTGGACAGGTCATCATAGTGACATCATAAGTATGAAAAAAACTCCCGTAGATGATACATTTGTATCTCTTGCGAATGATGGAGAGACAATTTTATGGAAGTTCGTTGCGCCAGATACAAGTCAGGTATATTAAGCCATGCACAATTAATTAATTGGTTTTCATAACTCGGCCGGGTCAAATTTTGGAAACTTTAAAAATTTTTTTTTAATGGTTTTTTAAAAAAAATTATTATATATAAAATTTAAAAAAAAAGCCAGCCAGTCAGGTCTACTTAAAATTCTCATGTTATGAAAATCAATACATTGAATTGTATGGCTTTATTATAAATTTCACATACTTAAGTATGCAATTGATTTGTTTTTATGCTATTTTGTAGGTTGACAAACGAATTGGCCCGAGTATTACTGAAAAATTTCCTAATAAAATAGATTCTCGAATCAAGCTCGTTTGTGTTGTCCCACACGGTATAATATATATAATTTTTTATAAACTTTACTGTCTTTTATATATAAATGATGATCTTTAATGTAGAATCTCCAAATTCTTTTGTTAGAGAATTTAGCGGTTTATAATGGGACTCAAATTGTTATATTTTCTTCTGCAAAAAACGACCAATTTGTTCAAACAGCAATCCTTGAAGACTATGATCCGTTCTTTGAGTTAATTTTGTTGTTTAATTTCCAAGATGTGACATTATCTTCGACAACTTATCTTGCTGGAATTAGTCGCCAAGAGAATACCATTTTTTTGTGGAAATTTACAAATAATGATTCAGGTTTTTTTATTACTTTCTCATAAAGTTGATGTTTTATAAATATATAGTAATTTTACATTTTTCCTTCA